CGAATTGAGAGAATGTCTTATCACACATAAATTAAGAGATAAAACCTACTTGATTAAATTAAGAGATTCTGGGTCAGAAATTGGAAGAAATAGACAATTTTTAGTTCACATTCCTGCAACTTCTGATGATGAACATACAGATAACGAATCTGAAACTAGTGAGTCACAAAATCTTGAAAGTCTCTAATAATCATTCTGATCATCAGTCTCCAATAAACTTACTTCCACAAACCTCTTCGGGTTGAATTGTTAAAAAACCTGATAGATTAGATGATTAGATTTATAAGTCATTTTATTATAAAATAAAGGGGTTAAAGAATGTATGAAACAATTGAGGAAATTCATAAATGTTTATTTAAATATTTGTTAAAGAAATTTATTTTTATTTTGTCATTTTAAAAAAAGGGGATGTGATGTGTGTAAATAAGTAAATATTCGGAACGCACTCAGGTTGGTAACATTGTAAGAGTGACGTGACGGACAGTTGCAAGTTGCAAGGAAGAGGAAATAAAACCATTCTAAATCTAGACACGATAGATACAAGTTGTTTCATTATAACCTAACCTCCACTCTCCAGAGTTAACCTATCCTATAAGTCCGACCACGTGCCATCACAATGGTTATTTTTAATACCAATAACTCATACTAGGTCAAATACCAATTTAGATTAAAAAACGAGAAGCACAAAATCAGAACAGGAACTGAAAATTCAGGACTATTTTAGGAAATTCGGATTTACAGTCACCCTAACAATTACAGAAGATGTCCTAGAGACAAAACTTGCAACTTACATATTAAAATATACGATTAAAGGAAGGTAAACTTTTATAATTTCAAAGGTCAAATATTCCATGTTATTATACCACACCTGCAACTACATGATAAAAGTTTGTATTTGTAAACAGATCATCTGAAAGATGCGAACAACATTCCATTTTAATTAAATTTTCATACTTTAATTTGGGCTTTAATAAAGAAAAGTAAAATAAAGCTGTTTGCTTAAAAACAAGCCAGAGTAAGCTGAGAAAAATGGAAAGAGATTATTTAGCTTCCTACATTTATTCATGCCCGAGGCATAAAAATCAAGTCTATTTGTATTTAGCGAATAATCGTAAAATCCTGCAGTAAAATTGAAAGATGAGAGTTTTTTTAAGATAGACTACTTTGTCGAATGAAGTTTATTATTGCGAAGGGATCTTCGTATTTTGTTTTATGTAAAAAATTCAATAAATAATTAATTCATTAATTCTTAATATTTCTTAATATTTCCTGGAGCTAGTATCTTAATGCAATTTACTATTTTGATTGGGAATAAGCCAAAATTTTACAATTTTTGATTTCCATTTTGGAGGAGGAGCGGTTAAGAGGTTGGTTTGGTATATTTTAGAAAACACAGTATTATGACTGGTACTTATAGAAACTACTTTCATAGAAAGTAGGTTTAGATCTTTTCTTTTGAAGATATGTAGTGTGGAAACGAGAAGCAAAAACATTGTTTCTGATGGGATTTTTACTATTTACTGAAACGTTGTCTTCTTTTTTTTTGGCCTTAGGTACAAGACCTATTTAGCCAGACAATATAGGTATAAGAATATAGAATACATAAAAACAATCCTTCAAATTCATAACAATTTCCTAACCGTTCGTTCATTCGCACCACATTCACTCAATTTCCTAACCTTCCCATTAAAAACACTATTGTGAGACTATACAAAAAGGATTGAACAGAACACGTTTCACGCTAAGGTGCCCTTCATAGCGACTTTTTTGTAACACAAACAATACAGGCAACGGTTAAAGGTAAAAGACATAAAAGGAAAGACAATGGGAAATACAACAACTAACGTCCTACCATTTCGGATTCACACAACAACACTGAACAGGGCAGTTTAGATTTTCCGTTTGGTACGTTTGAAAAATTCCCATAAAAATTGTCTTCTTAATTGCTCAGATATTTCTCCAGCTAAATATAGTAAGCTATCTGTGGGTGTAGTACAAAAAGCTCTTAAGACTGTTCTAACAGCAGTATTTTGGATCGTCTGGAACTTTTTTAAAAGTGATTGGCTGTTAGACCCATACTCTATTGAGCCATAATCGACATGATATCTAATAAGGCTTTTATATAATAGGTTATCTTGATCAAACCCTCCAGTTTAAATAGATAGGACTTTTACTATATTCAAATATTGTTAACAAGATTTTTAAAATATTGCTTAATTTAAATCTCCTTCTTCTTCTTTTTATGTAAACATGATTTTGTCTGTTTTTCAATGCGCCTCCAGTAAGTTGTCGTTTCATCGTTTTCGTGGTTTTCCTACTGATCGTTTTCCTATTGGGAAACCGTCTCTTCCGTCTTTCCTACTCTATTTGTTGTCATTCGGCTTATATGATCGTGCCATTCTACCCTTTTATTTCTTACGCTGGAGACACTTTGTGGAAGCCCTATGTTCCTCTTGGGACTATATATATATATATATATATATATATATATATATATATATATATATATATATATATATATATATATATATATATATATTATATATATATATATTTCTTACGTGGTCCTTGATCTACATAGTGTATTTTTACTTCTAGCTCTGGCCCACAGTTTTTATCATCAAATTTTCTGTTTTCATCTCTGCTGTTTCTAACATCCTTTTCCTCCTACCTGCGTCAGGTCGTGTTTGTGCAGCGTATGTCATTATAGGTCTGATAATTTTTTTGTAAATTCTGCCTTTCGTTTCTTTCCCGAACTTTTTAATTTCTCCAGATTGTTTCATTCAGGCAACTTCACTTCTGTTTCGAGCTTTCGATAGCTAGATAATGTGATGCCTAGATATTTGAACTTATAACCATATTGCGTCGTCTGCATAGAAGATTGTTTTATTTTAAATTGTTGTTCTCCCATTTGGTATCCTTTTTTAGTTCTTACTTTTTTTATTATTTCATCCATAATCACGTCTAACACTTCTGGTGAAATGAATACATTTACTTTTATTGAAACAAAACTTCATACCAGATTTCATTGAGCATTTTTCTAATGCAGAAATAAAATTTTGTAAAGTTTGTTTAATTTGTTTAATATTTCTTCCTTTTCAATTAATTATGAGCTCTATTAATACCAATAAGAAAAAGAGTAAAGCTAATTGATGGTTCTTGAGAGTTCCCATTTTTCTATATTATTGTTGTATACTTAATTTTTGTAAAGTTTTAAATATCGCATGGTGCCAAACTATATCAAATGTTTGGGTCAAGTTCCAGGAAGAAAAAGAACATCTTGGTTAAAGAACCTCAGAATCTGGTTCAATACAACATCTGATAAGATAAAGTTTGCCATGATGATCGCCAACATGCGTAACGGACAGGCACATCAAGAAGAAGAAGAGTATAAAAAAATACCGCTACGCAGCTTTGATAATTTGCTAGTGCTTCATGTATTTCGGACTCGAGGTCAACTAAGTTCTTTAGAAAAAAGTTACAAAGAATAGATCTTTGCTCGAGTATCCAAATATGGCCGGTTTTTTAAGCCGTTTTCTCTGTTCGGATTGCCGAATATAGGCCTCTCCTAATTCTCGCCATTCATCTCTGTTGTTTGTAAACGTTTCTACATTGGCATTGCAGTTTTTTTAATATCGTCTCTTCATCGCATTTGAGGTCTTCCTCGTGATCTTGTGGCTTCATATGGCCGTCAATTCTCGATTTATTTATTCCAAATATGGCGTTGGTTGATTAATTTTTCGAGTACATCGCTTATCCTAACGATACTTTGGGTCTAAAAATGGTTTATCAGGTTTGAGAATAGGTAATGTGCAAACATTGTTCCAAGTTTTTGGAAATATTCCTTCAATACATATTTTGTTATATATTTTTAATAAGTAGAAACTTCCATTTTTTTTAATTCTTCTTTTAGGGTTGGTGCATTTATTGGCAGACTATCGCTTTTATCATAATTAAATTTTACTAATTCTTCTTTGGTTTTAAATTGTAAAAACTCTTGAGAATAATTTCATTACTTAGATATGACTCGTAGGATAAGGCTAATACATGGGCTATCTCAGATCTAGATATATGAATTTTATTATTATATTCTAAATATCTTAGTGAAGAGTTTTTGTTAATTTGTTTCCATACTATTGCTGTTGGGGTTGAACTGTTTATTGTTTTGATAAACATTTTTTTCATGATTCCTTTCTTGCTTCTTTTACCACTTTTCTACTAATAGCTCCTAATTTCTTATATTCCAGTAGATTTTCCAGTTTTTTCTGTTTTTTATATCTACTGAAATCTCGTTAAGTCTTCTTTATAGCATCTTGAGAGTGATTTTTCCACCACAGTTCCCTATTACGATTTCTTACTATTTTCTTTTTTCCGATGAAATTATCTGCTGCCGAAAATATGAGGGAGGGAAATTTATTTACTAAGTCGTTTATACCGTCATTAGTATAAGGTCGTATGATTCTCTATTTTTGTATTCCATCTAGTATAAGGTTGAATTTCTTGTTTGTCTCCAAAATGTATAACTATAGGAAAATGATCGCTTTCATAGAATTGTTTACTAGCTTCCCAAGTTATGTTTTGTACTAAATAAGTGTCTGCAAGAGATAAGTCAATAAAAGAAGTGTTTCCAGTAAAAGAATCAAATCTTGTTGAAGATCCATCATCAAGCAGAGTAATATGACAGTTTCTATTATGTGTCTTAGTTTGTTATATATGTTTGAACATGAGTATTAGGTGCATATGGAAAAGAAGAAACAACGTTTCCGGGTAGTATTCGCACTGCACATAAGACTAAAGCAAATGATTGATAAATTATGCAGCTGCAAGGAAACCTTTTTTGACTGATGATCACAAGAGGAAGCGAGTTGCATTTTATAACAAATTCATAAACCGTGAATACAACTTTGGTCTAACGTTGCATTTTCCAATCATATAGCAATAGTCGAATAAGAGTTTATAGACCAAGAAATTATAGGTTTGATGAACGGTTTACTCATAATTTAAGAAATATTGGAGGATTTTTGGTCAACTTATGGGGGTGGATAAGCGCTGAAGGTCCAGGCGTTTGTTTTCATATAGAAGAAAAATTAACAAGATTATGTTACATATCTTTGAAAACATAATGTTGCCATCAGTGATCCCGAGATTTTACAATAACAACTTCATCTTCCAACATAACAATTGCCCGGTGCATAAGAGTAGAATTGTTCGAGAACGGTTGGAAGACACTCATGCTAATGTTCTTCTCTGGCCTTCTCAGAGTCCAGACCTTAAATCCATCGAAAACGTGTGAGTAGTGTTGCGTTAGTGTTTCTACGGTTGCATACCATATAGCAGTAGGGGAACATAAGAAGCGGTAGTAGAAGTAGAAGATTAGGTCAGGATTCTGCGGGAGAACTAAGGTTTTTACAAAGTATGTGTTAAACATAGAATAGTAATCTGTAATTATTAAGTACCACGTATCATGAAATTTATATAGGTCCAGAGCTGCTGTCTACCATGGCCTATCAGGAAATTTATAAGAAATCATAGCTTCTTTAGGATTCGTTCTGTTTTCAATACATTGAGCACAATTCCTAAACTAGGTTCTTTATCTGCGTAACAAAACCTAGCCACCATACTAAAGTTTTAGCACGGTTTCTACACTTAATGATACCAAAATGGCCTTAATGAATAAATTTCAAAACTTGTAGTTGCAATGTATAATGTATCACAATGCGACAAACCCGAAGTAAATTATCTTCTGACAATAAAAATTCAAACCGATATTGGTAATAAGGGATTAATGCAGGATTGAATTTGTTTTTATTTGGCCATCCTTTCGCAGTGTACTGTACTATTTAAGAGACAAAATAATATCTAACTTTTGCTCAAGTTTTATTTGTTTCAGAAAATTTGGTGTAGTTGGCAAAAACTGCAATATAAGTTTAACATGTGCCTCTGTTTCAGCCCCTAACTCCTCTGTTTCCAGTTTTTCAGCGTTATCAGAAACATTGTATAACCAAACATCAGTAATAACCAAATATTTGCCTGGCGAATAATAAAGGCTGTACTTATAACGCATCAAACGTAACCTGAAACGTTGTAGTCTAGGTGTCGAATAAAGGTCGATGGTCTGTTTGCAATGTAACGGATGGCAAATCGATAACATATTCTGAAAATTTATCCGTAGCCCATGTTAAAGCTAATGCTTTCCTCTTAATCTGAGAATACATTTTCTCAGTATTTGTTAACAAACTTGATGCATATGCAAAAATTTCAGTTTTTACCATCAGAAATCTGCATTAGATGCATCAGCCTGAATTAAAATTTGTTTAGTTGGTTCAATATCCTAGATCTGAGCAGGACACTTCTCATCTCCTCCTGTCCCTATATGGTAGGCAACCATCATCATCATCATCATCATCTTTGGCTCGACAATCCTCTGTGGATCTTGGCCTGCTCTAAGATTCGTCGCCATTCTGTTCGGTTTTTGGCAATATGTTGCCATCTTCTGATTTTTAATATTCGTAAGTCGGTTTCTACTCCATCTAACCACCTAATTCGCGGTCGGCCTTTGCTTCTTTTTCCTACAGGTGTTATGTGGTTAGCTTTTTAGCAATGGTATTTTCTGACATTCGTATTATGTGTCCAGCCCATCTAAGTCGCTGTGTTGTAATGAACGTTATGACATCTGGCTCATCAAAGAGCTGATACAATTCAAAATTATATCTTCTGCGCCACTACCCTTGGTCGTTTACAGCTCCAAATATTTTGCGGAGTATTTTACGCTCAAATATTCCCAAAAGTCTTTCATCTTTCTGCGTTAGAGTCCATGTTTCTGCTTCATATGTGAGGACTGGCCTCAGCAATGTTTTGTATATAATAATTTTAGTTCTTCTTTGAATGTTTCTTGAGTGGAAATGCTTTTGGAGTCCATAGTATGCCCTATTTGTAAGATTTATTCGTCTTTTGATTTCTTCGCTTGTTTTATTGGTAGCAGTCAATAGCGACCCAAGGTATGTGAAGTTGTCAACACTTCCAAAGGTATGACTTCCAAAGACTGTTTCTCGTTCCTCATTTGCTATCGGATCCTTTGTAAACAACATGTACTTGGTTTTGTCTTCGTTGATGACTAGACCGACCTGTTTCGCCGCTGTTTCCAATTCTAGGAGATATTGCTCAACATCTCGCTTGCTACGCCCTACTATGTCAATGTCATCAGCATGTGCTAAGACTTGTATCGATCTATTGTAACTAGTACCGCCATCCCTAATTCGTGTATCTCGGACTGCCTTTTCTAAGGCAATATTAAATAGGAGGCAAGCCAGAGCATCTCCTTGTCTGAGTCCATCCTTTATCTCAAAGGATCTAGAACTCTCTCCCTGTATTCTAACAGTGGCTTCTAAGTTAGACAGGTAGGCAACCATAGATACAATAAAAAAACAAGCAGAGTTGACAAAGAAGTTAAATGAAAGAAACCTTAGGCAACGGAATTGAATGGTATTCACATTGGGGACATGAGAACTATCTAGGAGATTGGTGCTATCTATGAACAAAAGATTGCAAAATTGTATTGACAATAATGGGGATTCCACCAAATATTAATTTTGTTACTGTTTATCATTATTTGATATAAGATAGATTTACCATAAAATGAATATTTTTAACCCAGACTTCCTTATTTTCGTTAAGAATATAATCCATTTTATTTTAAAAAAATTCTTTGTATAATTTCCATTTTGTTACATTCTGGAAAATAGATTTATGTTTACCGTCACTGGAAATTAACGTCACTTTAACGTAAAAAGTAGTTTTAAACGAGTTAAACATTTAAAAAATCGGCTACTGGATATGTAAGGGTATAAACTCTTCAATTGCCGCAGCTGTATGTTTGCCAAAACTTACTAAACTATTATTTGAATTAAATGTTTTATAAAATGTGTCATTATTATTCACAAAGGGTTGTTTAATACTTAATAAAATTTTTGACAGTTTCCTACAAATAAAATTCATGATACTACAAATAGGTCTAAGTGGTGTATTTACTTACTGCAAAGTAGAATTAACTCTCTTAATCTCTCATAAAATTCTACGTATTCGGATTTCCAAAGTCTTCGTTGGATCCTTTGTTAATTAGGTATAAGGTCAGTTTATCTTATTTTTCTTCTTCTTCGGCTTATTCCCATTATGAGTTCACCGTTTTTGTCCTCCACAGCACTATATTTCCCTAGTCACCTTTCCCGAGGTCTCTATCTATCATATCATTTCTTATGTATGTTTTTCATCTTGTAGTAGGTCTTCCTCTCCATCTTCTTCCCGGTGAGTCCCAGTCTAATATTCTTTTCGACCACCTGTGCTCTGGCATTCTTTTGGCGTTTGGTATTAGGTCTTTAGTTTTGTCCTCATACTTCATTTTATCCATTATAACAGTTGCTTTTCCCTTCGGTATTAAGTTATTGTTCCTATCGCTACGTATTTAATAATTAAAGTAAACATTTATTATTTTGACAATGTGCCAATTTTTTGTATAGAATTTCTATTCTAATTTGTGGCATCTTAATGTAATTTACTATTTTGATTGGGACAAAGGGACAATTTTATTTTAAATTAATTTTTGTTGTTTAGATTTCCATTTCGGAAATTGTTCTCAAAATATAAAACATTAATAAATTAAACAAATTTTGTTGTTATTTGGTTAAAAAATTCTTCTAATCTGACGATAGGCCGTTACAACAAAAATACGATTAACTATCTCACCGAAAATGACCTACGTTTTATATTTTATTTTAAATTTAACTGGAATTAGCCGAAGTGTCTGTGACATATTATTATATGATAAAGCCTATCTTTAATCTTCTTAAATAATTAGACGCTTTAGTAATCTACATAATTCTTTGAGAACGCAAAGGGATTTTGAAAAGGACCAGAAAAAACATGTTAAACGGGTATAGCTAATCGCATAAAAGGTCATTTAGGAATAAAACAATTTTAATTAAAAAAAAAACCTAATTACTGGGAGCTATTTTTAACTGGAATATCTGGGGGAAGTCGATAGAAAAGGCGCATTATCACGTGGTTATCGAAACTTTTACTGCGTCATGACACTTACGCAAAAAAAGCCACTTGTTTTATTAATTTCAATGTTATGAAAAACTACGCATTCTAGCTAAACACGTTCAACAGACGACTTTCTTAAAAATACTTGCTCTTTAAAATGCGATTTTCTAAATTAAAAAATGCTTATAAACAAAAAAGTTATTGCAAATTAACCCGAAAGTAAGCATGTTTTTCAATTATTATTATTATTAAAATAAAGAATACGAACATTTAAAACAAATATCATAATGTGAGCTTTTGTGTAGTTACTTCATTTACGAAAGATGGGCATAATCAGTCAAGTGGTTTTTAAACAAGTATATTTGTTTATTCCATTTAAGAGAACAAAGGTCATTTTCAAATGACTATACGGCTGCTTTGTCAATACTTATTAATTGATATGAGGTTGAATGCTCGAATAAATGAACTTTGAAAATTAAGGCAAATATCGAGCACAAGTTTAATCAAATCTTGCCCTTTCGCTTAATATAGCTCCTTCAGGAGCATTTCGTCAAATATGGGATATCCAGCAAACGTAGAATGTGAAAACATGAATGTTAACATAAAATTGTACAAAACACTACAACTAAAACAAGGACAAACAGTTTAAAATTAATTAAAATAGTTCTACGCTCTACATTCTTTGTCGGTAACAGGAGAGAGAATGAATCTCTCAGAACGAGAATCTCTCAGGAGAGAGAATCAATGTTAGTCAGCCAATGCTCGAAGCATTTTATGATGATCTTTAGTATCGAACGCCTTTTCATAATCTACGAATATAAGAAAGATAGGCTTGTTATACTATATACACTTTTCTATTAGCGTTTTTATAACTTGTAAATGATCATTTGTTCCGTATCTGGAGCGGAATCCAGCCTGTTCACAAGGTTGGTAACTATCCAGTTTGTTCACAAGCCGTTTTGTTATTATCTTCATGAATAGTTTGTATGTATGGGAGAGCAAACTAATCGGTCTGTAGTTCTTTAGGTCTGAAATGTCACCTTTTTTGTGCATTATGGTTATTATTGCATTATGCCACTGGGAAGGGGTTACGCCTCTTGTTAAACAAGCATTGAACATCTTTTTCAACACATTTAGTAACGTCACTCCTCCTTCTTTGATTTGATCAATGACTATCCTATCTTCTCCAACTGATTTATTGTTTTTCATCTCCAAGAGAGCTGATTTTATTTCCTCTGTTGTGATATATAATTGTGAAGCGGTAACGATTAATTTCATTTAGGGTGCTAATTAGGGGGTGATTTTCATTACGGTGTTACTAAAAAAAATCGATCAAGTTTTTTTTATACTTACTCAAGTACTTTTCACAAGCTATAACTCTGCTTCTATTAGGTCTGCAGGCTTCGCAAGTACACCTTTTTTTTTGTTTTTTTATAAGCTACATTTTTGCCAAGAGTATTTTTTGACAAAATACTTACTTTTTAAGTTATTTGTGAAAAATCGTCTGAAAATGTGGTTTATCGATGCCAGGCGGACACATGTGCTATCCTTCCATAACACAGTACTAACGTCGATCCCATAACTTAAGGTCATGTATTCTATGGCCAGGATCTGGGAAATGTTTAACACGAAATGATGGCGTATTTTATTACTCCGGAATCGACATCATTATTTCAATGAAATGGAGAAATTCTCTGATTACCTGAACTCCTTATTCAGAGCGCTTAATATTGATACAAATTAAAGAAAGACATAACTTGTGTAAGTAAATCTTATTCAAGTCTATGCACCAACAGCAGATAAAGATGACAATGAAATAGAACAATTCTACAACTACAACTTCTAGATTTAGAAGAAATGCTGAAAACAATAAAAAAGCAACACATTAACATAATAATGGGCGATCTTAATGCCAAGATGGATCAAGGTAAGGTAGGAGAACAAGTAGGAAACTATGGACTTGAAAACAGAAATGACAAATGAAATCGATTGATTCAATTTTGCCAAAGCGAAGATTTGGTAATAACAAACGCCTTTTTTAAATTACCTCCTCGACGGTGATATACATGGACATCTCCACAACATACCAAAGAAAAAATAGTGAGAAATCAAATAGACTACATTATGAGAGCAAGGAGGTATCGTACTGCGAATAAGGGATGGATGACATAAGATATACTAGACTGGACGGAACAAAGAAGAAACATGAAGAACTACCTAGACTAATACAAAGAAATAAACAAACACATAAAAAACAGACTAAAAGAAGCCAAAGAAGCGTGGATTAAAGAACAGTGTGAATAAATGGAAACCTATGAGAAAAAGTACGATGCGTTCAATATGCACAAAAAAGAGATAACAGGAAGCATAAAGAAATGCCAAATAGGTAAACTCTAAGACAAAGATGGAAATCTTATTATAGATCTAGAGCAAAAATAAAAAGATGGACAGAATACCTGAATGAATTATTTGAAAACGATAGAAACAACTTAACTCAGATAATCAATGCAACTGGGCCAGACGTATTGAAAGAAGAAGTAGAATACACAATAAGAAACACTAAAAATGGAAAAGAAAATAGACCTGATAAAATTCTTACAGAATTGTTGAAGCTTTTAAATGATAATTCCATAACCATAATATTACATCTATTCAATACAATATACAGTACCGGTATAATACCTCAAGAATGGTTGCTGTCTACGTTTGTCACCATACCGAAGAAAACTAGGGCAATGCAATGTTTAGATCATTTAACAATCTCCTTGATTAGTCATCTGCTTAAAATATTTCTTAGAGTCATCCACAACCGAATCTATCAAAAGTTCTTCTTCTTCTTCTGGTTCCTATCCGTTTCGGATGTTGGAAATCATATTGGCAATCATAACCTTGCTCGCTGCGGCTCGAAACAGCTCCGTTGAGGTTTTCTTAAACCATGTTCTTAAATTCCGCAGCCATGATATTCTCCTTCTACCGGGTCCTCGCTTACCTTTGACTTTACCTTGCAATATAGACTGTAAGACAATATAGACTGTAAGCGTCCATGCCTCCGCCCCGTACAACAACACAGAGAAAACATAGCATCTCAAATGTCTCATTTTTGTATCAAGGGATATGTTGTGACTTTTGAATATGGCGCTCATTTTGTTAAAGACCGTTCTTGCCTTTCCTATGCGGCACTTTATTTCCTGTAAATTGCTCCACTGTTCGTTAATAATAGTTCCCAGGTAACAATACTGTTTTACTCGCTCTATCTGCGTCCCATTAATATATAGATGAGCCCCGTTTATATTCTCCTTGCTGATAATCATTTGTTTCGTTTTGTGGGTATTAATGTTTAGTCCGTACTGTTGACTGTACTCGTTTATTCTGTCCATTAGCCTCTGAAGACCCTCTAAACTATCTGCTATCACCATGGTGTCGTCGGCATATCTAACATTGTTTACTCTTTCACCATTTAGAAGGATGCCTTCGTCTATTCCGTAAAGAGCCTCGTTAAAAATTTTCTCTGAGTATATCAAAAGTTAGATATCGATATTAACGATACACAGATGGGATTCAGAAAAATATTAGGTACAAGAGAAGCTCTCTTTGACTTAAACGTCCTAACACAGAGATGTCTAGATATTAACCAAGAGGTACACGCCTGATTTATAGACTTTGAAAAGGCCTTTGACAAAGTGCGCCACAATAAACTCAAAGAAATTCTGGAGGGTAAGTACACCGACACCAGAGACATACAGATAATATTAAATCGGTACTGGAATCAGCGAGCTAATATAAAAATAGAAGACCAAACATCAGACAAAATAGAAATACGTAGAGGAGTACGACAGGGTTGTATATTGTCACCGCTCTTGTTTAATATCTACAGCGAACAAATATGCCAAGAAGCTCTCTCACATGCAAACGAAGGGATAATAGTCAATGGAGAAGCTATAAATAACATCTAGTTGAAAGTATGAATAGGATATGTAATAACTACGACATATTAATTACTATTAAACTGGGAATAAGCCACAATTAAGGATAAAAATACGTTTATTGACGTTTCAATTTCCACTTCGGAAATCGTTCTCAAAATACAAACAGTAAATTCTGTGTTGGTAAGCATTGAGATATTTTCTCCACTGAGCTTATTATGTCTAATTTTGGAACGGATGGCTGAGTAATAGCAAAGTTTAGACCCTTTGACAGTATTAAATTCTCCGTTGCATTTAAATGTCTATTTGATAGATTGACAACTGTCGCTAATATGTCATCATTTCTATTTAGGTTATCTAAAGTTTGTATACTGTTTTGTTCTAAAAGAATATTAAATTTATTTAAATGTATATTTCTTTGTTTTCTATATGAATTTTCATATACTATATGTAAACTAAAAATAATTTGATCAAAATCAGAATTTGATATCACATTGAAAAGCAAATCTTCAATACTTACAATATCTTGTTCAACAAAAAATAAATTCGATCTATGATATTGTAATCTTTCTCGGATCATGGACAAAATGGCTCTATGTAGGATGTTTTCCAACCTTCTGCTTGAATATGCTGGACGTAACTTCAAGCCCTTTGGTATTAGATTGTTATCTCTACATCTTCGTAAAAATTTAATTGAATTTTGACAGTGTGCCAGTTTCTTGTATAGAATTTCCAATCTCCTAAAATTTTGAATAATGCTGGGCCCATAACGGTTTCTTAATATTGTTCTGAAGCTATTTTCTTGTGGCATTGTAAATTAATTACTATTAAACTGGGAATAAGCCACAATTAAAGATAAAAATACGTTTATTGACGTTTCAATTTCCACTTCGGAAATCGTTCTCAAAATACAAACAGTAAATTGTAATTTACTGTTTGTATTTTGAGAACGATTTCCGAAGTGGAAATTGAAACGTCAATAAACGTATTTTTATCTTTAATTGTGGCTTATTCCCAGTTTAATAGTAATTAATTTACAATGCCACAAGAAAATAGCTTCAGAACAAAACTACGACATAAGGATGAACGTCAAAAAAACCAAATATATGACCTTCAGTAAGAATCCAATATATGACACTAGTATCGCAGTAAACGGTACCCAACTCAAAAAAGTAAGCGAATACAAATACTTGGGAACCCTCATCAATGAAAGAGGTGACCAAAATCACGAGATAACAAGACGTATTGAAATTGCCAGGTCTATCTTTAAAAATAAAAAAAATATTTTGTAATTGTGATATTAGTATTCATATATGAACTAGATTGTTAAAACGCTATGTATTCACTACTTTTCTTTACGGTGTTGAGGCATAGACTCTTAAACAAAGGAATGTTAAAAATCTTGAAAGCTTTGAGATGTGGTGCTACCGCCGTATCCTAAAAATAAGTTAGGTGGATAAAATTACAAATGAAGAGGTACAATGCAGTATAAATAACGATCCAGAAGTTATACTGAATATAAAAAAGAGAAAACTTGAATACTTAGGCTATCTGATGAGAGGATAAATGTACACATTCCTACAAAATATAATGCAAGGAAAAATCCTAGGACGCAGAAATCCAGGCCGTAGAAGAATGTCCTGGATAAGAAATTTAAGAGAGTGGTTTGGCTGTACCATTAACGAATTATTCAAAACAGCAGTAAAAAAAATTAGAATCGCCCTAATGATATCCAAAATCCGATAGGAGAAGCACAAAAAGAAGAAGAAGATGTATTCTATGGAAAACCCTCTACTTTCTAATAAGTTCTCCATTTCAAATTTCTCATTTCCAGAGAATTTCTGATTTGAAATCAGAAATTCTCCATTTATGTTGACTCCAATATTCTACCAATTATTGTTTCTCATAGCACTCTGCAACAAAGCGGTGAATATCTTGGAGAGATGGTATCTCCTTGTCTAATACCCCTTTTGAAGGGAAATGTATTTGTGTTGCCATAATACATTCTAACTGCAGCTGTTGCGCTATTATATATATTCTGAAGAAGAGTTCTATGAAGAGTGTATCTATGAAAGCCACTCCTAAATCCGGCCTGCTCTAATGGTTGGTGAAATTCTAGCTTAGGTCAGTCTGTTAGTAATTATTCTCATAAAGAGCTTATATAAATGAGCTAACAAGCTGATAGGTCTGTAGTTTCCAATTTCTGTTATATCTCCTTTTTTGTCCAATATTATCATAATGGCACTATTCCATTTTTCTGGTGTAACTTCTCCAAAGAGGCAGGTATTATAAAGGGTTTTTAAAGCTTTTATGGTGCACTCGCCTCATAATTTTAGCATTTCACTTACAATGCCATCTTATCCAGGTGATTTACCGTTCTTCATACCTTTTAACGCTGATTCGATTTCCCTTCGGTTATATCTGGTTCCTCTCATCCTTTTTCTTGTATGGTTGGGATTTCCACCTCTGCAATGTGAGCATCTCGACGATATAATGTTCTATAGTACTCTTCGATAATTTTTGTAATTTCTTGTTGTTAATATACAGCATGTCCTTGTGTATTTTTTAGCTTACAAATATTCCATGTTCGTGTCTTCAACTTTTGTTTTAGAACTTTAAGGCTTTTATTTTGTTCTATGGTATTAGTTATTTCTTTAGTGTTAAAATCTCTTGTCTTTCCTAACAGCTTTTGAAATGGTTTTATTTAAATTCCTCAGCACTGCGATGTTCACTGTGTGCTTATCTTTCATTTCCCTTCTTTTTTGTATTAGGTTCCTTGTGCCTTCTGTAAGTTTTTAATTTTTCTTTGTTAGTTCAACTTGACAGTTCTTTTGTGCCTTCCTTAGAGCGTCCACCAACCTTTCGTTAAGTTGTTTAATATCGGTTTCATCTTGCACGTCAGGATGAAGGTTTCTATCTATTTCTTCCTGGCATGCCATTGTGTTAGTAATCGCAGTGAACGTAACATTTTTAGTCCTTGTTACCATATTTCTCCGTTCCTTCTTTACGTTCAAGACTACCTTCGTTCTAACCATTCTATGGTCACTTCCGGTTGAAAATTAATTTAATACAGTTATGACTTGAACAGCGTCTTTTTTGTTAGTAAAGACAAAGTCAAGTTCGTTCTTTTTTAAGCCATTTGGTGATTTTCAAGTCCACTTTCTTTGAGGGCTTTTTTTAAAATGGATGTTCATGACATATAGTCTGTGCTGCAGAAGAAATTCTATAAGAGTTTGACCCCTTTCGTTTCTGTGGCCATATCCGTGAGGTCCAAGCACTAACTCCGAATTATCCTGCTTGTGACCTATTTTTGCGTTTATGTCTCCCATCAGTATGGTATAGTTGATGGTTACCTCTTCTGGAGCAGTGTTAACGTCATCGTAGAACCATTCAACTTCTTCGTCTGTGTAGGCACTGGTAGGTGCGTATACCTGGATGATCTTTAATCGAATTTTTTCGTTTACTTTGTAGATAAGATAAATAACTCTATCACTTATGCTTTTAATTGAAAGTATATTCTTCGTGTGTTTTTTATTTATCATAAATCCGACGCCACCATTAGAAGATTCTCCTCTAGTGAAATAGATTTCCCGAGGAAAGTACCATTTCTTCTTTGCCTTTTCGCCGTACTTCAGA